CCTGGAGGATCCCTGATCCCGCTGGGGTGATTGCTCAGGTTTGGAGCCTGGAGGATCCCTGATCCCGCTGGGTTCCCCTGCGTGCCCGGCAGGATTGAGCCCAGCTCTGGGGACCGGACACGTGAGCTGGGCTCGGTTCCGCAGGCGGGCGGCTCCCACGTTCTTAGCGGAGCGAAATGCCACCCAGGAAAGCAGGCTGGCTCTTCCCAGCACACGGAGCTGCTCCACAGCTCGCTCGGGCTGCCAAGCCTCTGCGGTAATTTTCCTCAGTGCTTTTGCAGAGCAGCCCTCTGCTGCAGCTCCTGCCCGGGGAGGGAGGTTTGCAGCAGCACCAGAGGGATCCTGGGGCTGGGAGAAGCTAGAGAGGGAGCCTGGGCAAACCTGGGGGTCCAAAAAGAGGTCCTTGAGGTCCTGCCTGCCACAGAGATGGAGTGGGCACGGTTTTTCCAGCAGTGCAGCCCGTGGAGGGGCTGAGAACAGGGCAGGGTGGGCAGAAAAGCCCAGCTGGGATGAAGAAAGGAAGGTGTGAAATCACAGAGGTGCTGCTTTGCAGGAAGGGCACGACCCTGGGGAGAGCAGAATGGGTGGGAGGTGACTGAAGGGCAGAGGGGACCCTGTGAGCTCTCTGGGGCTCTCCTTGGGGACACTGTGCATCACAGGGCTGGTTGGTCCCTGCAGACAGAGGTGTGAGTGCACAATCCCTCTCTGCACCTCACTCTGCCCCTCTGGAGGGTGATGGGCTTTGCTTTCCTGGATCCCAGACCATAAAACGCCATCTGTAAGGCTGGACTCAGAACACTGAGAGCGTCTTCGTTGTGTTGATCACAGTGTGGCCAGCCAGGCTGCAGCGTGGGCAGCTCTCTCCTCGCCAGGAGGATGGCTTGGCACCAGGCTGGGGACACAGGGTTTGGGGGTGCTCTGAGGAGGGCCAGGATCCCCTTCCTTGAGTGCCCCAGGCATCCCAGAGTTGTGGTTCAGTGCCAAGTTCTGTCCCCAGCAGGGCTGAGGGGATTGGAGCCAGCACAGCCCCCGCTTGCAGAGGATTTCATGGTAATTAATGAGGCTGCTGTGTACCAGAACCTTTTAAATGCACGTGCCCAGAGATGTGTGTGAAGATGAGGGCTGAATGTTTCCTCACCTTGATCTTTTTATCTGTTTTTTCCTTTTTTCTCTATTTTGAGAGGATGGATGTCCCTCCAGATCCTCCAGCCCTCAGGACACTCAGCCAGGGAAAGTCTTTACAATTTGTGTGGAAGTTTGCAAGGACTAATCCAATGATGGGGCCAGAAGGAATGGCCACAGGCTACACCAGGGGAAGTTTAATTGGATATTTGGGAGAATTTCTTCCCCAAAAGGATAGTCAAGCACCGGCACAGGCTGTCCAGGGCAGTGGTGAAGTCACTGGAGGTGTTTAAAAGCCCTGGAGATGTGGGACATTTCTGCCTCAGTGTTGAGCACAGTTTTGCTGGCTAATGGTTGGACTCTGTGACCTCAGAGGGTTTTTCCAACATAAATAATTCCGTGATTCTGTAAATACTGTTCTGTTCCTCCCTCCTGGCACCTCCTGGAGATACCAAGGCAGCCTCTGGGATGACTGGGCCTGCCAAAGGGTGCCAGCAGCCCCCTATACTGGGGCAGGGCCACCCGGGGCTGTGCATGGCTGTGACAGGAGTGTCGCCCACGCCTTCCTCGCTGTGCTCTGGGTCTGTGTTTATTTTCATGCTGCTAAGAGGAAGCTCTCTCTGTATGTAAAACTCCCAAACTTTCCCTATCAGCCCTGCCCTCTGAAGGCGGAAGGGGAAGCAGGGCAGGGGTGGCCTCTTCCAGCCACAGAAGGACCCAGAAATTGTAAACCCAGCAGATAAACCCCTCTGCTGGTGGGTGATGAAGGCAGCTCRGCGGGGCCGCGCTCAGCACAGCGTCTTTGTGTCCCCAGACTCCACCAAGAAGCTCAAGGATGTTCTGGAGGAGTTCCACGGCGAYGGTGTCCTCTCGAGGTACAACCCCGAGCAGGTATGGCCCTGTCCCCACCCGTGTCCCCCTCCAGCTCCCSCAGCTGCAGGCAGCCAGGACAAGGCAGGGCTGGATTCCCTGGCCASCCCACCCCATCCCATCCTGCTGAGAGCTTTTTGGGTCATTGCCCTGCCAGGCAGAATCCAGGAGGGATCTGCTCTCCCGCTAAAAGCAAACGGGGCCAGTGTGGGGTTGGGATAGCTCTGTGCCCTCTCGCTCCCTCCAAAGAAGGCTGGGGTTGTTTTCTCCAATTGGTGCTTTCAGAGAGACCAATTCCTGTGCCAGCAGGGCAGAGCCTTCCACGGGGACTGAAATTGCTGAAATTGAGGCAAAATGAGAAAAATCAGTGGGCTGAACACAGCATGGAGGGGCACAAAACCACCCTGCCATTCTGGGGCACCACAGGACCCTCACTGCAGCTGGGACCACAAAAGCCTTTGGAGGACATTGTCCTCATGGGATGGCAGTGCCCATGGGGGAGGAGGAGGCCCAGAGCCCTSAGGAGGGGGATGTTTCCCATGGGGCCGGGCTGGGCTGGGCAGGGTGGTCCTGCTGCTCTGCCCTCCCTGCYGCTCCCCCAGCTCCTTGTCCTGCCTGCTGTCCCTGCTCCCAGCCCTCTCACCTGGCTCAGCCCCAGCATTTCTGCCTCTGGGGCCCTTCAGGTTRTATCCACCTGCTGGGATTTGGGAAGCCAGCGGTTTTGGGGAGGGGTCTGCAGCTGATGTGCCCAGCGAGGGGGSCCCAGGGCATGGAGCCCCACCCCTCTGTACACTCACGGTGTCCTGGGGCACCTCCATCCTCCTCCTCTGCTCTCCAGCCCATTGACTACGAGGGCTTCTGCCTCTTCATGAAGACCTACCTGGAGGCRGATGTGCCCGAGGAGCTCTGCCAGCACCTCTTCACCTCCTTCAGGCGTAARATCTGCCAAGGCTCCCCCGAGAGCCAGCAGCAGAGCCCTGGTGTGTCACAGCACAGCGCCCTGGGTGAGCCAGCACAG